TAGTGCTTTTGGCATCGCAATGGAGGATAACATACGAAGAGGCGAAATCAGTCATCAATAATTGGCGGCACAAAACGGCTGATAATTGCCTTGCCTTCACAAAAGTGATCATAATGACAAAGTACCTCTAACGGCAAATCCTTGTCAGCCATTCCCTGGAAGAGAAGCTCTAGTCGAAGGGAGGGATTGATAGAATCGTAGGCTGTCTGAAACGGTAAATTAGAATGAGACAAATAATTAACCTCTGCCTGCTGTCTTGTTTCATTATCTACATCTTGCAACTGAAACAACAGATTTTTAAAGTCGGAATAATCTTGCATGGCTGAAAAATGAGAGGAAAAATGAAAGCACGAGACAGCAGACTGGAAATGTAAAATAAGCGCGAGGGGGTGGATTGAATGAAAGGTAAAACAATTTAAATCATTCATTTTATTTTGAAGCTGACAAATTTTCAGATATTTTATAAATTAATAAGTTTTTTTTAATTACTCTTGAAGTATAATCCTTAGGCAGTTGTTCTTTTCTAAACTTATGAACAGTTTGCCAAATAGTCAATATTAAAGGGAAAGTTCGTTCGTGACTACCTCTCCTTAAGTTCCTCTTTATATTAAACTAATATATAACTTGTTTGCACTGATAACACATCGGATCCAACTTGAATTACAGTATGAGGTTATTTCCTATTCAATGTAACCTTCACCCAGCCCAGAATTTCTTTCTTTTTCCTATTCATGGTGTAAATATAATTTACATAATTAGTTAAGGAATTGAATTTCTTATAGCTATTCAAATAGCTAGTTTATACCAAATTTAACCAAATAAGTTATAAAATTTTATTCTTAAGCTAAATTGTGAAACTTTTTGGCTCATAGTTAAGCTCAGACTCTTCATCCGTTTGAAGGATCAATCATTTATTCCACCTATAAATTATTTTAAGGGTTATACCTCGGATAGTATAGCCTTGTTATGTATTAATTTCGTGTTTTTCGGCAAGCGTAAAAGGATGCTGAAGTTTATCAGAAGTGTGTCTGCATTATTAATATATTTTTTCTGTTCTTCTCCTGTCTCATCTAAAGAAATTTTAATCAATGTTTAAAGCAGTAATACCCCAAAAATGTATGCTTGGATTTGCAAGAAACTATAAGAATACATGCTCTTTGAAGGATATTCTTTATGAAAATTTGCTTACGTTGCTCATCACTCAATGCTGATAGGCGATACTTAGACTTAGCTATCTTTGATATTTCGAACGAATTTTAAATTGAGAAGGTAAGGCAACCATTTGACATTATTGTTGAGACTTTTATTTTGTATAGAAGTGTATGAAAAAGAGATTTGAAGGTTGATCTTATCAGAAGAGAACGGTTGAATCTTGCTGTACTGGAGCCGTTTGTCTTAGTGTTAACTTGAGAATTTTATAAGAATGAGCACCAGCTCTGATGATGTCTACCATA